CTCCCCTCAGAAAAGAAAGAAAATCTTTTATTATTTAAAGCAACATAACAATGATATTATCTGCTTGTAGGAAACTCATATTTTACTTAAAGATCAAAAATACTTAGCTAATGCTCGTTTGGGATCTCATTTTGTATCTCCTGCCCCTGGGAAAAAAGGGGGAGTGGTTATTTATGTTAAGCAAAATCTACCAGTTTGTCTGGTAGAATCAGATCCTCAAGGAAGATATGTAATGATTGAACTTGGATTATATGGTAAGAAAATACTTGTAGTGGGACTGTACGCACCAAATCAGCAACAAGAACAATTTTATAAACTGTTACATCAGAAAATAATTTCGCTGGACTATAGATCTGTGATATTAATGGGGGATTGGAATGGTGTTTTAGATACACAAAGGGACAAAAAAAGGTTCCTCTATCCTTTTTAAACAGGCTAAATTACCCAAAGCCTTTTTTGATTTGAAAGAGGATTGGGAATTGAGTGACTATTGGCGTGAATGTAATCAAGAGGAGAGAGACTTTACCTTTTTTTCAGATAGATATCAATCTCTGTCAAGAATTGATTTTTTTTTATTACAACTGACTTATATAATAGGGTAAAGAACGTAAAAAATTTTCCTAGGTCACTGACGGATCATAGTCCAGTTTGGATGGAGCTGATTCATGAAAAAGAGGAGAGGAGATCCTGGAGGGTGAATGAGAATTTATTTAGACAAGAAAAGAATGTTCAAAAGTTAAAGGAGTGTTTAAAGGATTATTTTGCTTTGAATATGTATAAGGGGACATCAATATCAATGGTATGGGATGCAGGTAAAGCTTTTATGCGAGGGATTTTAATAAAGATGAACAGTGTTCATAGACAAAAGCAGACTCAGAAGCGTAAGGAATTGGAAGATGAGATTAAATTAAAAGAAAAGTTTTTGATTTCAAATCCTTCAGATGAAAAGGTTAAGGAATCTATAAAGTTTTTAAGAACACAATTTAACATGTTGATGGCTGATCAAACCGCAACTAATCTTTTGTTTATGAAACAAAATACATTTTGTAATGCCAATAAACCAGGGAGATGGTTGGCCTATCAATTAAGAAAGAAACAGAGACAGAGAACAATAGATAAAATAAATTATAATGGTAAATTAGTGTATCAGAAGGAATTGATTAAGAAATCTTTTTTAGATTATTATCAAAAATTATATAAGACTACTAATGTACAAATTTTAGATATAAATAAATATTTAAGGGAGGCTAACTTTCCTAAATTGACAGAAGATCAGAAGCAAGAAATTAATTGTCCAATTACTAATGAGGAAATTGTGACAGTTATTAAGCAATTAAAATTAGGCAAAGCGCCAGGTACAGATGGTTTGACACCTATTTATTATAAAACTTTAGTAGAAGAGATGATTCAACCTTTAGGTGAGCTTTTTAATAACATATTGCAGGGTTCAGAGATCCCTCCGTCATGGCGCAGTGCTTTTATATCCTTGATTCCAAAAGAGGACCAAGATCTTACTTTACCAAACAATTATAGACCTATATCTCTTTTAAATGTAGACTATAAGATCTTTGCAAAAATTTTAGCTAATAGGCTTATGATGGTTGTGCATCAGCTTATACATAAGGACCAATCGGGTTTTATAACTGGTAGGTACATGAAAAACAATGTTAGACAAATTATTAATATATTAGAATATTTAGATAAGAACAACCAAGTCCCTGCAGGGCTGATATTTTTAGATGCTGAAAAAGCCTTTGATCAACTGAACTGGCATGTTATGTTAAGAGCAATTGAGGAGATGAATTTTGGAGAAAAAATATTACAAGCTCTTACTGCTATATATCAAAAACAAACGGCACAACTTATTGTTAATGGGGGTTTGTCAGAGGTTTTTATAATAGAAAAAGGTACTAGACAGGGATGTCCTTTGTCACCGTTGCTGTTTGTTTTAACATTGGAAATTTTGTTGATTAAAATTCGAGAGTCGCAGGAAATAAGAGGCATAGAAGTTAATAAAAAAGAATATAAGTTGAGAGCTTTTGCAGATGACTTGGTTGTTACTTTGTCTCAACCTACTTATTCTGTAGTGAAGTTATTACAGCTGATATATCAATATGGATTAGTTTCGGGTTTCAAAATTAATAATAATAAGACTAAAATATTATCTAAAAATATGACTACTTGTGATAAACAGATTTTGGCTAATTTGACTGGTTTTGAAATTGCTGATAAGATAAAATATCTGGGGGTTATTTTATCTGTTTCTAATGCAAAATTGTTTAAGAACAACTACGAAAGGTTGTGGGTCAGGGTACAAAAAGACTTGAAAAATTGGGAGAACTTACAGCTATCTCTCATGGGAAGAATTGCAGTGATTAAAATGAATGTCCTGCCAAAATTTCTCTTTTTATTTCAAATGTTACCTATTTTAAAGAATGAGGTTAATTTAAACGAATGGCAGAAAGGCATTAATAAATTTATTTGGGCAGGGAAAAAACCAAGGGTAAAGTTTAAAATTATGCAGGACTTCCATGAGAGAGGTGGACTCAAGGTACCGAATTTGAAATTATATTATGACGCTGTGGTCTTAACATTAATTAGTGATTGGGTAAATTTAACAAATTCAGAGATACTCCACTTGGAGGGATGGGATTTACTTTTTGGTTGGCATGCCTACTTAATATTTAATAAAAAAGTGGATTGGGCCTTTAAATCTCATATTATAAGGATTTCTTTACTCAGGGTTTGGAGGAAATATTATAAAAGTGATTTTAAAATACCATTATGGGCTATACCTTGGCATGCGATAGAGGGGATAAAGAGAGGTGTTAAAATGGATACGGTGTCTTACACACAATTACTTAGATGGGATGGTCAAAATTGGCAGTTAAAATCTTTGGAAGACCTAGTATATGAAAATATTACCTATTCTTGGTTTCAATATAGACAATTAGTAGATAGATGGAAGATGGATCGTAATATAGGCTTGCTTAGAGAAGATGAAAATCTTTTTAAGCAAGTAAAGGATCAAAGACAAACTCACATTAAGAGAATTTATGGGGTGCTAGTGGAACTGGATTCAGAATCAGAATTAATTAAAGATTGTATGATTAAATGGGCGCAGAATTTTGGTGAACCAGTTCTACTGGATACTTGGGAAACTATCTGGGTGAGAAATGTTAAGTTTACACAAGCTCAGAATTTAAGGGAGAATTTTTATAAAATGTTTTACAGATGGCACCTTGATCCACAAAAGATGTCTTTCATGTATCCTGACTTACAGCCTAAATGTTGGAGATGTGGCTGCCTGGATGCCACTTATTATCATATTTGGTGGTCGTGTAAAAATATAAAAGCTTTTTGGATTAAGATATGGTGGAACATTCAGAGAATTTTTAGAAAGAGGGTAAAATTTACTCCACAATTGTTTTTGCTTGGCATTGTTACTGATTGTGATGCTAAGGAGGTTATATTGATGTTGAATTTGATTACAGCCGCAAGGCTCTTAGTAGGTCAATACTGGAAGAAGGAATCTTTGCCTACTTTGCAAGAGTGGTTTTTTAAAGTTTCTTATTTGGCGGAAATGGCAAAGATTTCGGCTTTTTTAAAAGAGCAAATGCAAGAGAAATTTTTTGATGTATGGGAAAAATGGATAAATTTCATACAATTTAAACTGGATTTGAAAAAATATCATTTAGCTTTTTTATAACCTGTATTTTTCTATTTTAAATATTTTCTCTTTTTAAGGATTATAACTCTTTTTTCATATATATTTTATTTTTAATTATTTTATAATTTTGTTAATTTTTTTTTCTTAATTAAGCCTATATTCTGCTCTAGGAAGCTCCGGGGGGGAGGGAGGGGGTGGTTTGGGAGGGGTTGGGGGAGGGTTGTATTGTTTTGGTTTTTTTTTGTTGTTGTTATTGTTTTTTTTCTGTCTTTGTAAAAGTTTTTAAAAATTTTTCAATAAAAAAAAAAAAAAAAAAGACCGGCTTCTTCTCTGCCAATTTTAAAAGTGCTGCTCCTTTCTGCTTTGGTGTTTGCTTTCCACCCGGCTTCTCTGAAGCTTCCTCTTTAATTTACCAATCTCTCCGGGATCGGCAAAGCCGGACTTCCAGCTGTGAGAGGACTTCCGCCTGTGACGTCATTGTGGAGTGGGTGAAGGATCAGACCTCTGTTCCTAAATCCTGAAAAATCTATTCGCCTTTTTAACTGGGTTTAATTATTTTTACCTTTCCAAAATTTAAATTCTAAAATTTTAATTTTTAAATACTATTTTTTATTTTAATGTTTCATTGTACACAGTCCAGAATCCCTCTTTGAAGGAGACTGCCAGTTGAAAAATGTGATGGATAGGTGATAGATGAGTATGCAGAATATTCCTGAGAGGATTATGGGAATTATTGAGTCATGTTTTGATACAGCAAGCACAGTACTCATACATGTGCTATCTTATGCAATCTACCAGTAAATGTTAATAATGGAGAAATACCATTACACTAGAAATACAATCTTTATTAAAAACATGAACATCATATTTAGTAAACAGAAAACTTGAAGCATATATTTCGATGATTGTTACCTGCTTATTTATCAGCTCTGAACTATTACTCTATAAATCTACTGAAATAAACATATAATTAGCTTTATCATAGAAGTTCTTTGAAGAAATAGGAATAAACAAATAAATTCATATGTACTTTCCTTTTTTTAAAATTTTTTAAGAGCTATGTTTCCACATGGCAAAATAGCCAATGGCCTTCTTTTACCAGCATTTGTTATACTACCAGTATTTCACCATGCCAAATATTAATTTGTTTATTATGGTCCTATTTTATGTATTTATTGTACAGACAACTCATGAGGGAACATTTTTAAGTGTTAAAACATGTTAAAAAGACACTATTACATAGTGTCCAATTTCAAACAGTAAAGACTAAACTAAAAATTTTCTACAAAAACTTCTGTTAAATGCAAAAAGAAAGGAAATCTTCACGTACCATAAAGAGCATTTCATAGTTTTCTATCAACTTCTGTACAACAGCAATAATGGCAGCACTCTCCTCAGCACGTGCTGTGCTTTGAACAGTAAATTCTTTGTCTGTTGTCTTCTGCTTGTGCAATAAATTAGGTCCAAATATGGTAGCTAGGTTGAGTGATGTCATTTTGTTCCCAGGAATCTAAAAACAAAAGAAATAAAATGCTGCACTATTTAACTGGCAATGGATTCCTAGCGCTTTATGTAGGTAGTTTTGCTTTAGCTAACCTGGCTAGCATCCTGCCTTTTCTAAGTCACTTGTGCCATATATAAAAGCATTCCACGGAGGGGGATCAATAATAGCCACACCAAGTTGTGTGTGGAATTTCTTCTAAGAAACCTACAAATTCTAAAAGTTTCTGAATTCAGGAATAATCCCTTTGCATGAATGAAAAAGAGAATGAAACAAACATAGTTAAGTCTATTAAAGCAAGTGACAATTAATAAAACCAAATATACTGTGATTTAAACCTAAATTATCATGGCTTGTTTAGAAATAATACAAAGTTTGTTTCATAAGATGGTTCATTAATTGTATTCCTTATCACAATGCTGAACAAAATATTTGCCAACACTGTAAACATTGGATTGTTCCCGCTCTGACAACTGATGGAAATTGCAGCCATTTCCACTTTGCTTTTATCATGCCTTTTCTTCTATTTAGAAATCAGGTGCAGAAGGGGGGTTGGGATGAATGCTTGAGATCAGCTAGCCATAATAATAACGCTGCTCTGTGGGAAATCAAGGACCAACTGATAACAGTTTGGCAGGCTGAGGAACTGGAGAGAAAGCCTGCGTTTCAGGCTAATTGGAGAACATGATTTATGACTGCTTATTGGGGGTGGGAATTGCGATTTGTTACTTTGTATCCGGGGGAAGGGATTATAGTTTTGGATTCAACTATGTAGTGCATATACTTTGTTTCCTGAATACAATGTTCATTAAGGAAGAATTCTTGCCTTGAAGTTCTTTTGATGGGTTTCATCTATTGCAGTGAGGGAGAATCTTTTAGATACCTAGTGTCTGTCAAGCCCCACGGGGCTTGCCATTCGGTGGGGGAGATAGTGGACGACCAACCCCATCCCCACCAGCCCAGACCGTCGCTGCACCCGACCCCTCCCGACTTGCCACCTCAGCCGCGGAGGACACCGGGGCCGGCATTGTGCACCCCGCCGGCCAGCTGAGCAGGGGAAACCAGCCAGCGGCGTCACGTGGCCACCCTGCCGGCCAGCTGAGCAGGGGAAACCGGCCGGCGGCGTCACGTGGCCACCGGCCCTCCCCTGGCACCGTGGGGAGTGCTAGGCCCAGCATGGAACATCCTGCCGGCCAGCTGGGCAGCGGGGACGGGCCGGCGAAGTCGCATGGTCTCCAGCCCTCCCCGGATGCCGCGAGAGACGCTGCGTCCAGCGCGGAGCATTCCGCCGGCCAGCTGAGCGGCGGGAACCAGCCGGCGGCTTCGTGTGGATTCCAGCCCTTCCCCGGTGCCACAGAAGATGCTGGGGCCGGCGCGGAGCACCCCGCCGGCCAGCTGACTGGCGGCAACCAGCTGGCAGCACCGCGTGAGGACTGCACCCTCTCGGACACTGCAGCTATAGGGGGTGGGAAGGCACGCTCCACCAACCAACGGAGTGGCAGGGACTGGCCAGCGGCTGAGAACATGAACTCACCACAAGCACCGAGGCTGGGAGAAGCAGATGTAAGGCAGCAACAGACGGTCGGACGCTGGACTACGGGGGGCGGGGCTGCACAGGAAGAGGGAGTGGGTCACAAGGGTGGGGTTATAAAGGTAATCAAGTGGATAGTGGTTTGTGGGTGGAGGGTGGGGATGTGGGCATTGGCATGCTATAAAGAGCATTGGGAACAGGCCAGTCCCAGTGCTGACTTTGTTAGTTAGGCAGTGAATAAAACTTCCTAACGTGCACTGAGTTCCTGCGTTCCTGGCTTTCATTTCCAGACTACTGAGGACTTGGATTGACAGTAAGTCAGCACTCACCTTCCTTTTTGCTATCTTCTGCCCTTACCTCAACCCTGGGGAATGGCGGAGGGGATGCAGGACGCTCCTCAGGTGGAGGACGTTTCTCTGACTGGTGCTGCAGCAGCTGTCCCGGCAGACCCTGTCCAGACGGCCGTGGCAGGGGAGGAGCAACCGGTGGTGAGGCCCAAGACCATCCAGGGGCCTGGCCCTGTAGCGGTGGCCAAGGATGCTGAGGTCGCCAAGCCGAGGGAGGAATGGTGGCAAAGCCCAACGTTAACATCTCTGGAGACTGACTGGCCCCGTAACCCACCGGGTAGGTCATCCCTACTGGGGTGGAGGGAAAGATGGTTAACAGGCGATGATGAAGAGGAGTGGAGCTACTCCACCGCTCCTGGCGAGTATACGTTGGATGTTCTCCGAGAACGGTTCGGTGAAGGTAGCTGCCAGGGCCGCTCCTCGCGCCAATGGTCGGACGGCACTTCTGGACGGGCGGATACATCGCAATTTCGGCTCAGCAGTCCTCGTCTTCGGCTGCCCCGCCTAGGGGATACCATGACAACGGGACCTGCTATTTCTGGGCTAGATTCCACGGGGGCCGTTGGCTGGGCACAGCCTCCTGGCAGGAGGGCACAAGGTCAAGCTGCTGTAACAGGTTCAGCCACGCCGGTTGGGAGTGGTGGGGTGGTGCCACCTGCACAATGGGGGCCAGGTCAGCAGTGGGGCCTGCTGTCTCTCCCCATAACCGTTGACGGGGACCCGGACAGGTTGGCTATGTTCCTAAGCCACGTGGTTAGCCACCTTGATCGGTATGGCCATTCATACTCATCTCAATGGGCCATGGTGGTGGGGATTACGGCAGGGCTATAAGGGGAGGCGGCAGCATGGGCTGCCGACCTCCATAGCGATCATGCTAGGGTGCTTGGCAACGTGGGGTTGTTCTTGGAGGCGCTTCACAGCCGATTTGAGGATGCCTCCCGGGTTCAGCAGGCCGAGTCGGAGTTCCTGTCCCTGAAACAGGGGGCCCGGCCCGTAGCGGAATATATCCGTGATTTTTGATGGCTAGCCAGCCGGCTAAGCTCGTCATGGCCTGAAAGATTACTGATCCACCATTTCCAGGCCGGGCCGGATCAGGAGCTGCGCCAGGCGTGTATTTATAGGGGCATCTCCAATCGCCTTCGGGAATGGTTTCGGATAGCAGCAGATCTTGATACCAATCTCAGGGAGATCCAGAGGACCTGGGACACCGGCCGGGCACGGCCACCTGTGGGGAAGCCGAGCGAGAGCGGACAGAACCAACCCCCCGGTATGCTGGTTATCCCAGAGCGCCCGGTCTGTCTAGTGGCACGTCGTTTCATTGCTTCCGATGTAATCAGCCGGGACATCGGGCGGCCGAGTGTCCAGCTCCTACTCCATGAGTGTCCAGGACCCCGAGAGGTCCAGCGCCGATGCCACGAAAGGGTCCTGACGCATCAAAAGCTGCGACACATCCGAAAACCCCATCAACACCATGGGTACCACCCAGGCAGGACGCTATGTCGATGGCGCAGTATCGTCCAGCCGATGGGGAGAGCGACGATGACCCCGTCAACGATCCAATGGTAAGCGAGCCTATAGCCCCTTTCGTCCTACCTATAGTATTGACGAGCCCCCACTCCGGGGTACGATGGGAATGTAGGGCACTGATAGACACAGGGTGTACCCGCTGCTTGATCAGTCGAGCACTAGCTCTGGAGAATGGGATCCGGCTACATAGGTTGGCCCAGCCTGTGCGATTCGAGCAGGTAGATGGCTCGCTGTTGGGTGGAGCTCTGGCGACCAACATCACCGAGCCAGTGCGTTTGGAGCTTGGAGCCCATTGGGAAATCATCCGGTTTGTAGTGGCCCCAGCCATGAGTGAGGCCGTGATCCTCGGCCTGGCATGGCTGGATAAATGGGAACCCACCATTTCGTAGGGTACACTTGGGTGTTGGGCCCCAGCCCCCCGGACAGCTTCAGGTCCCAGGGACAGTCAAACCAACCCCGGTGTGGAGTGAGTGGGGGAGGGGAGGACCTGTTCCCCAAGGAATATCAAGACTTAGCTGCAGTGTTTAGCGAAGAAGAATGCAACCAACTACCCTCTCATCGACCGATGGACTGCAGCATCGAAATTGAACCCGGGGCCAAACTACCAAAACCTCGGATGTATGCCATGGCGCCCAGGGAACTGGAGGAGGTGAGACAGTTCATTGATGTGAACCTGGCCAGAGGCTTCATCCAACCGGCTTGGTCTCGGGTTGCCACTCCTGTCTTGTTCCGAGAAAAAAAAGACGGATCGCTACGTCTTTGCGTCAACTTCCGGGGTCTGAATGCTGTCTGCGTGGAACATCTGTACCCACTCCCACTTATGAAAGACCTGTTAGCCCAATTAGGGAAAGGGAGGATATTTACCAAGTTAGACCTTTGAGAGGCGTACTATCGAGTACGAATATGACGGGGGGACGAATGGAAGACAGCGTTCAATTGCCCTTTAGGGAGCTTTCAGTACCGCGTTATGCCATTTGGGCTGCAGGGGGCCCCCGCAGTCTTTATGCAGTTAATAAACCAAGTACTGCACGAACACCTTTATCGGGGGGTCTTCGTCTACCTTGACGACATTCTGATTTATACCACAACCATGGAGGAGCATGTTGCTCTGGTACGACAGGTATTGAAAAAATTATTGGAGGCGAGGTTATATGTCAAGTTGTCCAAATGCGAGTTCCACCGTACGCGGTTGGATTATCTGGGCTATCGCATATCGGTGGCAGGAGTGGAAATGGATCCAGTTAAGGTTAAAGCAGTTCTTGACTGGCAGGCCCCTACCACACAAAGACAGTTGCAAAGTTTTCTGGGGTTCGCCAATTTCTACCGGCAATTCATTCCATCGTTTGCTGGCGTGGCTCACCCTCTAACGGAACTCCTAAAGACAAAACATCTAAAAGGTAAGCCACGACCCGGCCAGCCGGTAGGATGGACCATGGCCTGTCAAAAGGCGTTCGAGGAGCTCAAAACACTGTTCGCCAAAGAGCCAATATTGCTCCATCCAAATCCCGACACTCCGTTTGTTGTCCAGGCTGATGTGAGCGACGTGGCTGTGGGGGCCGTCTTACTACAACCAAACCAACAGGGGTTACTACAGCCGTGCACATATACGTCCCGCAAATTTACTACAACGGAGCACGGGTGGGCCATTTGGGAAAAAGAAGTATTCGCCGTCAAATGGGCATTGATGACCTGGCGGCATTTGCTGGAAGGCTCCCCTCGACCATTTGAGGTGTGGACTGACCAGCGGAACCTAGAAGCGCTACAAAAGCCACGGCGCTTATCGCTGAAACATGTCCAGTGGGCCCAATATTTTACTCGATTCCGGTTTACTCTGAAATATGTACCAGGAGGTAAGAATTTCCTTGCGGACGCATTGTCTCACCTCCCTCAATACCATAGCGATAGAGAGGAGGTGGTACAGGCAATTATACCTTCCTGTACTCACAGGGTAGCCGGCATAACAACACCACAAACAACCACTATTACGCTGCCAGAGTTGCGGGGGGCTGTAATAAACGACAAGTGGTTAAAAGAACATCCGGGACTATTAACCCGAAGGGATGGGCTGGCATGGAAAGGCAACAAACTTTAGGTTCCTGAGGAGTTACGCCTAACCGTCCTTAAGAGATGCCACGACGCCAAGCAGGCAGGCCATTTCGGCTTCCTAAAGACCCTGCACCACGTCCAACGACAATTCTGGTGGCCTCGCATGAAGCCTGATGTAGAAACCTATGTCAAAACCTGCCACGTCTGTGCTACCGCGAAACCCCGAGTGGGAAAACCGATGGGCCTCCTACAAAAGGTAGCAGATCCATGACAACCCTGGGAAGAGATCGCGATGGACTTTGTTGTTGAATTACCCTCAAGCCGTAATTACACGGTAATATGGACCGTAATCGATCTCTTCTCGAAACAAGCCCATTTCATCCTGTGTAAAAGATTGCCGTTGGCGCAGCGGTTAGCCAGAATGTTTATACAATATGTCTACCGGCTACACGGCGTGCCACGACGTATAATTTTGGATAGAGGGGTGCAATTCACAGCCCAATTCTGGCAAACGTTCCTGAAGTTAGTCGGGTCATCCCAGGGCCTCAGCTCGGCCTACCACCCATCTACCAATGGGGCCGCGGAAAGAGCGAACGCTATGATTGAACGATACTTACGTAGTTACGTCACCTTTCAGCAAACAGACTGGGTGGACTTACTACCATTCGCTGAGGTAGTAAGGAAGGACTCACTGGAGAAGGGCCTAATGCTGGGAAAGATTGAAGGCAATAGAAGAAGGAGACGACAGAGAATGAGATGGCTGGATGGAGTCACTGAAGCAGTAGGTGTGAGCTTAAATGGACTCCAGAAGATGGTAGAGAACAGGAAGGCCTGGAGGAACGTTGTCCATGTGGTCGCAATGGGTCGGACATGACTTCGCAACTAACAACAACAATTTTATTTTATTTTATTTCATTTGGTTGCCATCTATTTTGCTTTAAGATGAACTGCAGTACTAATTTCATGATAAAAATCAGTGAAATAAACGTACTTCCTGGCTATCTTCATCTTTTCTGTCTTCTGCATGGCTGGCTACAGTAGCTAGAAACTGAAGGAGTCGATGTAAGGTGTCACAGTTGCAGGGAGGTAGAACATAAATTAGAAGTTGTAGAGTGTTCAGTTGTTCATGAGGGTCCATTACTAAAAAAGAAAAATATATATTTTAAAAAATACACTTATTAATTGCACTACTTTGTGTAACTATTATCAGCTAATTCAATGTTCTATATACATTTTAATATTTTCAGGCATCTCATTGATTAAGTACAGCTATGTAACATCTGAAGAATTAAATGTTTTAGAACATTCAATTATTATATTTGGGGGGGGGTGTAAAAAAATCTAAGAGCCAATTTGGTGTGGTGGTTAAGACATCAGGCTAGAAACTGGGAACCATGCATTCTAGTCCTACTTTAGACACAATGCAAGCTGGGTTATACCTTGTGCCAGCCACTTTCTCTCAGCCCTAGGAATGTGGCAATGGCAAACCACTTCTGAAAAAGCTTGCCAAGAAAACTGCACGTACTTGTCTGGGCAGTCTCCCAAATTTGGACATGATTCTATAAAAAAACCCACCCCTACCATATATAACATTTTGAGACATGTGCTGATTCAGCCAAGTTGTATATAATATTATCCTAACCAAAATTTATGTGATTCATAGATCAATACATATGGACTATTTTGAATTGCCTAGTCCTCTTTAGCATTCTATACATTAAATCATTACAAGACAATAATAACAATTATTATTATTATTATTATTATTATTATTATTATTATTATTATTATTATTTCAAACAGACAAGCACCTGCAACATAACACCCCAGACTTAACAATTGTCGATAAGAAAGACAAAAAAGTCTGGATAGTGGACGTGGCAGTGCCTGGAGATAGCAGAATAGAAGAGAAAGAACTGGAGAAGATAACAAAATACAAAGACCTACAAATAGAAATAGAAAGACTGTGGCAAAAGCAAGCAAGGGTAGTACCAATAGTCATAGGCTCCTTGGGTGCAATCCCAAAACAACTGGAGCACCACTTGAACACCATTGGCATTGACAAATTTGCTATTAGTCAATTGCAAAAGGCGGCCTTACTAGGAACTGCTTCCATCCTGCGACGATATCTGTAATACCATCAAACATCCACATCTGCCTATCCCAGGTCCTGGGTAAGGACTCGATAGGTAGACAAAATGCAAAATCCAGTCTGAACATCTGGCTGACTGTGCGATGATCAATAATTTGTCAATGCCAATGGCGTTCAAGTAGTGCTCCAGTTGTTTTGGGATTGCACCCAAGGCGCCTATTATTATTGGTACTACCCTTGTTTGCTTTTGCCACAGTCTTTCTATTTCTATTTGTAGGTCTTTGTATTTTGTTATCTTCTCCAATTCTTTCTCGTCTATTCTGCTATCTCCAGGCACTGCCACGTCCACTATCCAGACTTTTTTGTCTTTCTTATCGACAATTGTTAAGTCTGGGGTGTTATGTTGCAGGTGCTTGTCTGTTTGAATTCTGAAGTCCCAGAGCAGTTTAATTTTATCATTTTCTATGACTTTCTCTATTTTATGATCCCACCAGTTTTTGCTTACAGGCAAATGATATTTTTTGCAGATCTTCCAATGCACCATTGTTGCTACTTTGTCATGCCGCTGCTTGTAGTCAGTCTGTGCAATCTTCTTGCAACAGCTTACCAAGTGGTCCACTGTTTCTTCAGCTTCTTTGCATAGGCGGCACTTACTGTCTGTTGCTGTCTTCTCAATTTTGACTTTATATGCATTTGTCCTTAAGGCTTGGTCTTGTGCAGCCAGAATTAGTCCCTCGGTCTCTTTCTTCAATTTTCCTGCTCTTAGCCATTGCCAGGTCTTGTTATTATCTGCTTTCCCAGCTATTTTTTTAATGTATTGGCCATGTAGTGCTTTGTCTTCCCATGCCTCTATTCTGTTCTTCATTTGGTCTTTCTTGTAGGCCAGTTTGGTCTCTCCAGTAGTTAGTAAGCCTTCCTGATATACTAATTTCAGTGCATCTTCATCATTGTTCTTCAGATATTCTTCCAAAGCCATTTTTTCTTCTTCAACCATCTGATGTACTTGTAGCATTCCACGCCCACCTATTTGCCTTGGTAGATAAAGTCTATCAATGTCACTGTGTGGATGAAGGGCATGATTCATTGTCATTATTTTTCTGGTCTGCCTATCCATTGCTTTTAGTTCTGCTTGAGTCCAGTCCACTATTCCAGCTGTGTACCTAATGACTGGGATTGCCCAGGTGTTGATTGCCTTTATGGTATTTCCTCCATTGAGTTTGGACTTTAAGATCTTCTTCACTCTCTTGATGTATTCACCTCTAATCTTTTTCTTGACTTCAGTGTGCTTGATGTTGTCAGCTTGAAGGATACCCAAGTATTTGTAGTAATCTTCCTCATCCAGACTCTTAATGTTATTTTCGTGGGGCATCTTGATTCCTTCAGTTTTCATTATTTTTCCTTGTTTGATAGTAAGTGTGGCACATTTGTCCAAGCCAAACTCCATAACAATATCTTGGCTATATATACGGACAGTGTTGAGCAGCGATTCTATTTCAGATGATGTTTTTCCATACAGCTTCAGATAATCCATGTAAAGGAGGTGGGATAGTCTGGCAGATGTTTTTGATGTTTGATAGCCATGTCCTGAGTTATTCAGTATTGTTGACAGAGGAAACAGTGCAATAACAAATAGTAATGGTGATAATGAATCTCCTTGAAATATTCCTCTCTTGATATTAACCTCTCCCAGCCTCTCACCATTGATCTGCAACTGTGTCTTCCATTGTGCCATCGATCTTTGCACAAATTTTCTGATGTTTCTACTGACTCCTGTTATTTCTAGGCACTTGATTACCCAGTCATGTGGCAGAGTGTCAAATGCCTTTTTGTAGTCAATCCATGCCACATTCAGGTTGGTCTTCCTTTTCTTGCAGTTTTCCAAGATCATTTTGTCTATTAGGAGTTGATCTTTTGTTCCTCTGCTATTCGGGAGGTTTCCTTTCTACTCAGGTGGAAAGAGATTGTTTTCAACTAGATGCTGTTGTACTGCATCAGCTACCACACCAGTTAGTAATTTGAAAGTTGTTGGTAAGCAGGTAATTGGCCTGTAGTTGCCTGGTGTTGCCCCTTTTGCTGGATTTTTCATCATTAGGTAGGTTTTCCCAGTTGTTAGCCACTTTTCAATTTATCCTCCTTGTAGTATATTGTTGAACTGCTTGGCAATGAATGGGTGTATAACAGTTAGATGTTTCAACCAAAACCCATGCAGTTCATCTTCACCTGGTGATGACCAATTTTTGATTTCCCTTGCTCTTTTTTCGACCATTTTTGTTGTTATTACTAGTTCTTTCATTTCAACTTCTGTTTTATTTGCATCCACCTCTTTTAACCAAGCCGCATCCTTGTTGTATTTCTTTGGGTTATCCCATATCTGCTTCCAGAACTGCACTGTTTCTTCCTTGTCAGGTACCGACTGATTCATTGCAGTTTCTCCGTTGATGGATTGCTAGAAATGTTTCTTATTGGATTGAAATTGGAGGTTCTGCCTATAGTTTGTAATTCGAGTTTCATATCTACTGATTTTCCCGGCTATAGCTGTTATTTGTTGCTTTATTATTTCCAGTGCTTCCTTGATCTTCCTTGTTTCTAAGTGGTATTTCTTGATTAGGTATTCTTTGGTCTTCTTGTTCTTCAGCTTCTTTTCTTTCATCTGTTCTAGCTTGCTTGCATGTGATCTTAACTTGCTGATCTTATTTTCTAGTCTAACCTTCCATTTTTCTGGTGCACTGTTTGTTTGTTTTTCTTTTTGTTGATTTTGCATCCCAGGTATTCTGTTATAACTGCAGCTGTGCTGTACATTAGTTGGTTTGTTTCTTGCAGTGAATTGGTGCTTATACTTGCTATTGCAGTATTTGCATCTTTTAATGCTTGTGCTAGCTGTTTCTTTGGAACAAGCTTCAATGCAGGCAGCCTTATTCTGTTGTTTTTGTGCTGTTCTAGATGCTCAGTTATTCTTTGTTTCAATTCTTTTATTTCTTTAGTTAGAGGGTTTTGTTCTTCCTGAGGAAGAGGTGCCTGGTTTCCAAATGAGAACAGTTGTATATCTCTGCTGGATTACTTCACTGCCAACTCCCCCTGGTTTGCCTCTACATTCTGAATTACTTCTGGTAAGACTTTGATTTCTTTGCCCTGGGTAAAACTTTGCAGTTCGTCCAATTCTGTTTCTGTGAATATTTCGTATTATAAATTGGCGTTGATCTGCTAGTCTCTGTTCTGTTATTTCTGATTCTGGATGTTGTTCTTTCCAGAACTGGTGCATTTGCTTTAGATATCCTCTTCTTGTTGGACTTGATCTGTAGTAACAGATCATTATTTCTTTGTTTTCAATCACTGTGTATCTGTGACGGGTAAACACCTTTTCTTCCAGTAGTTCTGCAGCTGCTGGCCCTGGTTGCTCAGCCAAGAGTCCTGAGTCCTGTAACCCATTTTTCACCAGATATCCACGAACTCCAATATCTAGCGCAGACCTTGTTAACCTGGGCGACATCCGAGCCGGTATGGCATTCTGAAATTTACGTCTCACCATATTTTTTATGGGAGAGACACTCTTTGTCTGACTACTCTGATGAGACATGTCCAGTATGATTGAACCTCTGGCATAGCTCTCATCTTCCTCAGAGTACACAAGCCCCACAACCACACTGACTGTGTGATGATCCATAATAATAATAATAAAGCTGGAAGGGACCTTGGAGGTCATCAAGTCCAATCCCCTGCTCAGGCAGGTAACCCTATATTGTTTCGGACAAATGGCTGTCCAGTTTCTTCTTAAAAACTTCCAGTGTTGGAGCATTCACCGCTTCTGGAGGCAGGTTGTTCCACTGGTTAATTGTTCTAACTGTCAGGAAGTTTCTCCTTAGTTCTAGGTTGCTTCTCTCCTTGATTAGTTTCCATCCATTGCTTCTTGTCCTGCCTTCAGGCACTTTGGAAAAGAGCTTGACTCCCTCTTCTTTGTGGCAGCCCCTGAGATATTGGAACACTGCTATCATGTCCCCCCTCGTCCTTCTCTTCGTTAAACTAGACATACCCAATTCCAGCAACCGTTCCTTATATGTTTTAGCCTCCAGTCCCCTAATCATCTTTGTTGCTCTTCTCTGTACTCTTTCTACAGTCTCAACATCTGTTTTACATCGTGGTGACCAAAACTGGATGCAGTATTCCAAGTGTGGCCTTACCAAGGCATTGTAAAGTGGTATTAATATTTCTCGTGATCTTGATTCTATCCCTCTGTTAATGCAGCCTATCACTGTGTTGGCTTTTTTGGCAGCTGCAGCACACTGCTGGCTCATATTTAAATGATTGTCCACTAGGACTCCGAGATCCCTCTCATAGTTACTACTATTGAGCAAGATATCCCCTATACTATAACTGTACATTTGGGTTTTCTTGCCTAAATGTAGAACCTTACTGTTTTCACCATTGAATTTCATTTTCTTAGATAGCACCCAGTGTTCAAGTCTGTCCAGATCCTCCTGTATCCTAAGACTGTCTTCTGGAGTGTTGGGTATTCCTGCCAGCTTGGTATTGTCTGCAAATCTGATGAGTTCCCCATCTATCCCTCGTCCAGATCGTTGATGAAGATGTTGAAGAGCACTGGGCCCAGAAGAGAGCCCTGGGGTACCCCACTACATACTTCCCTCCATGTAGATGTGGTTCCATTGAGGACCACATGCTGAGTATGCCCGGTCAGCCAGCTGCGGATCCACCTGGTGGTGATGCTGTCTAACCCACATTTATCTTATTTATCTTACCCATATCTTATCAAGTAGTAGGTTGTGATTTACTTTGTGAAATGCCTTACTGAAGTCCAAGTAAATTATATCCACAGCATTCCTCTGGTCCACTAATTTGGTCACTTGGTCAAAGAATGCAATAAGATTTGTCTGGCATGATCTGTTTTTGACAAACCCGTGTTGGCTTTTAGTAATGACTTTGTTTGCTTCTAGGTGTTCGCTGATTCATTGTTTGATTATTTTTTCCAGAATCTTCCCAGGTATTGAGGTCAGGGTGATAGATCTGTAATTTCCTGGGTCCATTTTTTTCCTTTTTTGAAGATGGAAACTACATCAGCTCTTTTCCAGTCCTCTGGTAGTTCCCCAGTGCTCCAGGATCTTTGAAAAATATAGTTCAGTGGTTCTGAGATCACATCTGCCAGTTCCTTGAGAACCTTGGGGTGTAATCCATCTGGTCCTGGTGATTTGAACTCATCTAAGATGGACAGGTGCTAACTTACCATTTTCTTGTCTATCTTAACTTGTATTTCTATTTTGTTTTTTATGCCACCATTTTTGATAGGTTGGTCTGTTTTTTCCCTTTGTGTAAAGACAAATGAGAAAAACGAGTTAAATAGTTCTGCTTTCTCTCTGTTGCTTGTCACCTTCTTGCCACTTTCATCCACTAATGGACCAATCGTTTCCTTCATTTTTTTCTTGTTTTTTACATGTTGAAAGAAGCTTTTTTTGTTATTTCTGACTTTGGTTGCAAGACTTAGTTCATTCTGAGCCTTAGCTTTCCTCACTTCTTCTTTGCAGGCTCGGGCTATTTGCTGATATTCTGACTTAGTTATGTGTCCCTCTTTCCACTTTCTATACTTGTCCTTTTTATCTTTCAATTGATCAGAGAGTTCTTTATGCAGCTATGCTGATTTCTTTTGAGAGCTGTTATTTTTCCTCTTTGTTGGTATTGTGCTAGACTGGGCTTTTATTATCTCACTTTTCAAATTTTCCAAGCTTCTTGAGTTGTTTTCCCCTTGAGGATTCTCATCCATGGAATCCTTCCCAAACCCTCTCTTAAGTATATTGAAATTAGCTCTCTTGAAGTCCAAGACTAGTTTTACTGTGTTCTATTGCTTTTGCTTCCACCTATGGAAATGTCGTTTCCCCCCCCCCTTTTATATTGCATTCAAGACAGTTTTCATCATTGTTGTGCTCTATTTCTGCAGAGATGTAGTTATTTCTTATATAGAGAGCCACTCCACCTCCTGTCAAAGCAAGAATATACAACATTTGTGCCGACATTTTGTAACAATAAATTACTTTTAGGAAAATCAGTGCCTGGAAGTTCTTTGAAGTGTTTAATTAGCCGGAACCATAACACCTCCTCTTTTATTTGGTCTGTTTCTTTTAAACAATTTAAACCCCTCTAGCTGTGTGTTTCATTGTGGGTTTCATCCCACCATGTTTCTGTAATGGCAACAATATCATATCTGCCGTCATTAACCTGAATTTCTAATTCACCCTGTTTGCTGTTCATACTCTGTGCATTGGTGTATAGACATTTGAGTCCTTTATGACCGACCCTGTGTTTACTTCCTACATAACCTGTGTGGTGCCTGAGTTCCCCTAATGTCTTACCATCTATTTGGTTAGTGCACTTTGTGTGGCACTCGCTATTAAGAGCTTGATTTTGCTTGACAGCAAGGTTGATGTTGTTGTCCATACACACATCTATGTTACATGCACTGATAGCCCTATAATTTTTAGATTGCCGGGGACAGGGATGTTCTGTATCAGTTAGCTCACTGTCCCCGCTGTTTAGTTTAAATATTCCTCCATAAAAATCTGTGAATTTATAGCCAAGTAACTCAGTCCCTTTCTTTGATGGATGCAGACCATCTCTTTTGTACATTTTTTCATTGGACCAGCTGCTGACATCGTGACTAATTATCCAAAGCTGTCCCCTTTAATATATGAAGATGATTATTAGAATGAACCATTTTAACAATTTTATCCCCAATCTAAGTTTAAAAGCCAATACACTGAGACATATCAGGCAATTTAAGTTGACAGGGCTGCAGTTTATCAAATATTTAGGTAGGTAGGTAGGTAGGTAGGTAGACAAACAGATACAGACAGACAGGTTGCTCACAGAGTGTGCTGATAAAAGGAGTGTAAAGCTCTCTGGTCAGGAGTGGGTCAGGCATATCACGAAGAAATTCCTTTAATAAAGCCGCTACATCATGAATGCTTTGTTCTTCATCCAATATTACATCCACACCACGATCAAACTCTTCACGTAACTAGAGACAGAAATCATGTCAAAAATTTACATGTTTATACACTGTGGGCACAATTATTAGGCAAGTTGTATTTAGGAGGATTAATTTTCTTATTGAACAACTACAGTGCTCTCAGTCAATCCAAAATGTTAATAAACCTGAAACCTGAATATTTAAGAAAGTAAGTGAGGTTTCGGCTTTCTTAAAAGAAAGTCTATATGTGCACAATTATTAAGCAACTATTAGTATGCAGAATTATTATGCAACTAAATGAAAAACTAAAATTTGCCCATCTCATTTGTTTATTTGCATCTGTTAAAGTGAGAATAATAAACAAACCACTCAAAATGTACAAATAAACATTTCTGACATTTCAACAACAAAAAAAAATTCAGTGACCAATATAGCCACCCTTCTTTTCAATAACGGTCATAAGCCTTCCATTCATGGAATCTGTCAGTTTCTTGATCTGTTGACAATCAACGTTTTGTGCAGCAGCAACCACAGTGTTCCTGACACTGGTCAGAGAATTGTACTGTTTCTATCATCGTAAATCTCCCCTTTAGAAAGGGCCCACAAATTCTCAATAGGATTTAGGTCAGGTGAGGAAGGGGGCTATGCCATTATTCTTTCATCTTTAAGGCCTTATTGGCTAGCCATGTAGAAGAATACTTTGATGCATGCAATGGAGCACTTTCCTGCATAATAATCATGGTCTTCTTGAAAGATGCAGATTTTCCTGTACCACTGCTTGAAGAAAATGTCTTCTAAAAACTGGCAATAGGTTTGGGAGTTGATTTTGAGTCCATCTTCAACCCCCAAAGGTCCAACTAGCTCATCTTTAATAATACCAGCCCATACCAGTACCCCACCTTCACCTTGCTGGTATTTGAGTCGAAATGGAACTCTGTTCCTATTACTGATTCAGTCATAGGCCCATCTATCCGGTCTGTCAAGAATCACTTTAATCTCTTCAGTCCATAAAACCTTTGAAAAAAAATCTGTCTTCAGACATTTCTTGGCCCAGTCTTGCTGTTTCAACTTATATGTCTTGTTCAGTGGTGGTTGGCTTTCAGCCTTTTTACCTTGATGTGTCTGAGCACCGAACACCTTGTACTTCTTCTTTTTTTTTTGAAAACTTATAATATATTTTATTAATTTTTTTAACAAAGCATAAGTCACTCAATAATGGTAAACAGTGTGTTGTCTGGGTTACATTTGTAAAAACACTCCTTAACAATTGATTTCTATAATCTGTATTCCATATATTAATTTTAGTTGATTTCCTCTTTCCCCAAAACATCCTTTTTAGCAAACATTGAGTTAATACAATTCTTCTTGTTTTAATAAATGACAATTAAGTATATACTTTTTCCAATAATCCTAAAAAATAATCATCATATTAATATATTTCTTTTCTTTTCAGTCATTTGGTTTGCCTTTTCATCAATCCTGTTACAATCCTAATTTTAGTTTATTTCTGCCACCAAATTCTAAATATTCTTACTAGTAAAAGTTTCCTCAACGATTAGTTACATTTACATTGACAGATTTAATTCTATTTTTTCCATATAAGCCATTTCACCTTTTTTTATTTCTTAAGTAATAGATAAAAGAGTAAAAAGGGAGGGGAAAGAAAGAAAAACAAAAAAGAAATAAAAAATACAAAAGAAGAAAAAAAGCAATGGAACATAAGAAATAACATACTACTTAGAATATATATCCCTCCTAGGTTAATATGTATTTATTTCCTCAAATTTCTTCTTATTATTTTTAATCATAGTTAAGAATATATTTAATCTTTACATATTCCATTCAATAGATCTAGTCATCTAATCCCTTAACTCTGATTCAAAGCATTTTTAGTATACTTTTCTTAAATGCAGTCACATTTAAGTATCTAAAACATTTCATCCCTCTTAGAGTAGTATATTCTAAAAATTTTCTATTTCTTTAATCATATTCAAACACATGCTTCTTTTTAAGTATTCTCTCTGATATGTCCCATCATCTATTTTCTTAGTTTCCATCTTAATCTTTTTTCTTTGCCCAGAATCTTTCTTAATCAATGTACTTTGCTGAATCAAAAGGTTTCCCCGTATAGGTGTTGCTGTAGATATAGAAAGTAAATCAATGTCTTTGTCATGGGCATTTGCCCACTCCTTTTTATTAGGAATCTTTTTCCTTCCTTTTCTTTCCACTTCTTTTATCACCTTTTGTCTCTTCATCCAATACTTTCTCTTATCTTTAAATTTGCTTTGTAATATTGAAAAGTAAGTTGTCTTTTCTTCCACTTGAATTAAATCATACTCTTTTATTTTGTGGAAGTCCATCTTTAAGTCTTTATCCTCGGATTTATATTCAGTCATCTCTGCTGTATTCTCCTGACGGTTTTTTGGGAGTAAAATTAAATTGGAAATAAGTTGGTTTATACTTTCAAAGTTGTTTTGTATTTCTTTGTAGTTTGAGATCATTGTCCTTTGAATTGATTGCAGCTTATCATATATTTCCTCTTGTAAAGTATACATTGTAACAGCTGTGTTTATTTAAAACTTTGAAGGCCACAGGCAGAGATTTCATAATTCTCATCCACCAGTAGGTGTCAGCATTGGATCATTTTTCTGTTCTTTCTAGTCTTTTTCCTCCTTAAAGGGTTAGATTTCCCGCTTCCAATAGCCAAAGGAGTGGGGAAAAAACCCTCCCCTTTTCACTCTCAGAGGTATTTTTGCTTCTTGGGAGTTCTCTTTTCAGGAAAATAAGTATGATAGAGAAAATCAGTTCTTACCCAGCTTCAAACGCACTGTTCACAATCAGCTTATAGTAGAGCTTTTGACTTCCGTTGCTTGCAGCTGGGGCTAGACAATGGAGTTAGCTAGCCTTTCTCCTGTTGGTTTCTGGGAGGCTTCTCCTGGACCGATCGGGGAGACCACCATCTCTCCTAGGTCCCTGGGACTACCTTCCTTCATTGCCACCTCTCCGGGGCGGCTTCTGGCCCATTTAGGGTCCCCAAACAGGAAGAAACTCAGCTGGAGAGCTCGGCATCCCGAATCTCTCAACTGATTTCACTGCTCACAGGAACCAGAAGTCCGAACACCTTGTACTTCTGGGCACTCCAGGTAGGTTGCAGTTCTGGAATATGACAGCACTGGAGGATAATGAGTTCCTGGTAGCTTCACATTTGATTGTTCTCAAATCTTTGGCAGTTAATGTCTTGTGACCCTGTTGACTACAGGTAATCATTGTCAATTTCAGAAAAGGAAGGCACAGCCATATTTCTCTGTGCATTAATGATTCACCTGTGGAGATGGTTACCAGCATCAAATTCCTGGGTGTGCAGGAATAGACTGGCTTGGTCGTTCAACGGTAAGAAACTGGTGAAGCGGGCTCAGCAGCGCCTGCATTTTCTGCGTCTCATGAGAAAAGCACATCTTCCTTCCCCTGTCCTGACCACTTTCTACAGGGGGACGATCAAGAGCATCCTGTCATACAGTATCACAGTTTGGTTTGGAAGCATCACTGCTTCAGACAGGAAGGCAGTGCAGAGAGTGGTGAGGATGGCTGAAAAGATCATTGGCAGCTCCCTCCCTCCCATCCAGGACATAGCACAGAAGCATTGCTTGAGCAGGGTCCATAAGATTATCTGGTACACTAACATCCTCTTCACGACCTGTTTTCTTTGTTACCTTCTGGGAGGAGGCGTCGTGGTATCCATAGCAGAACATCCAGATTCAGCCATAGTTTCATTCCATACAGCATTAACCTTGTGAATTCTCAAGCTTCCTCCTTCTGTTATGTATATGTAGGGGTGTGGGTCTGTACATATGTTGTATATAGTATGTTTAGGTGTGTGTCATGTATGTGTTTTACTTTGAGAGCAGGCAACTAAATTTCATTTTTGATGTGTGCCGTTGTGCCCACAGTAAAAAAAATGACAATAAAGGTTATCTTATCTTATCTTATCTTACCTTACCTTACCTTACCTTACCTTATCCCTGAGTTGCGAAGGTTCCCTTAGCGAATGTTCAAAGTGCCACCTAGTGCTTATGACCTTGGTTCCCATTCAAAGTGCCACCTAGTGCTTATGAGCAGGCCCTGAAATTACGAATGTTGCCACACCAATGCAGTCATTCACCCTTACAAATGACCGCAGTGGCACTGCTACATTCATCCTGGTTATTTCCTCCCCCACCCACCCCAGGTCTCCCTAGGCACTAAGCCTTCACCCTACAAAGATCAAGATCCTTCGCTTTCTTGCCTGCTCCAGGCCTTTGGTGCATTCGCAGAGAATGGAGGCCTAAAGAAACATAAAATCACACAAGAACAGTGGCATAAAATCTCATGCTACTGATCTCACATGATCCGATGGTACTTTAGGCCTCTGTTCTCTGCAACAAAGAACACAACTGAAGCTGGAGGATGCTTCTGCATGTCTCCAGAGGCCGAATCTGGGTGTTGGAGACCTTTTCCAGGCCGCTGCTGCCCGGATCTGAGGCTGGGGGACGCTTCTGTGGCTCTCCAGAGGCCCAATCCGGGCATCAGAGGCCTTTTCTAGGCCGCTGCTGCCTGGATCTGGAAAGAGCCTCCGATGCCCGGATCGGGCCTCCTTAGGCCGTGGAAGTGTCCCCCGGCCTCAAATCTGGGCAGCAGCAGGAACCGCGGCAGAGAGGAGACAGATCTTTTTAAGGTGAGTCTGGCATGGCAGGAAGGGAGGGGGAAGCATGAGGTATCTTAGTGGGTTGGGGAGGCCTTGGGCGGCTGTTCCATCACTAGGCCCTCCATGGCCTTCCCTACCCTGAGATACCACATGTGCAATTAACGAACTGCGCATTTGCCCATGCATTCTATTAGCAAATGTGTGGGTGAAAGCAAGGAGTGAATTGCGTTCAAGGTACAAGATTCACTCTCACGAATTTTCGAGTTATGAATGGAATGGGCAGGCTCCATTACATTTGTAACTCAAGGACTACCTGTATTTGCAACAAAACATTTGATGGTTCTGTCATCGCACCCCAATATCTTAGCAATTTCAAGAGTGCTGCATCCCTCTGAAAGACTTTTTACAATATTTGACTTTTCAGATAATTAAATCTCTTTTTTGGTCCATTTTGCCTGAGGAAAAGAAGCTACCTAATAATTATGCACACCTTGATATAGGATGTTGATCTCCTTAGGCCACACCCTCCCTCATTACACAAATATGCATCACCTGATATGCTTATATCCACTAAACATTCAAGTTTATACAGCTTGGAGGTGGAAAATATGCATGAAAATGATATGATCAAAATATTCACTTGCCTAATAATTGTGTACAGAGTATTACAGGTTTTTAGAAAGAGTGATGACATAGCTTTAGCTTTTAGTCAGACCCTTTCCCAAGTCTGGCTTATGCATTTTTTTTCTCTGTGCAAGGAACAAATTGATGTAATGATATTGTTTTTTTGTAGAAAAGGACTTATTTCAGAATTAAAATTGTAGCATACAAAGAACAAAGAAAATGTCAAAACCTTAATAATCCAGTGGTGCTGGATTACTAAAATAAAATAACACTAAAGGTTATTCTTCCAAATTGATATCATATTAAATGAATTCTACCAGTGAATTACAAGTCTAGACTTAACAATAATGCAATTTTTTTGTTATTGTGTTTTTATATTTCTTATTCACCTCGGAATAAACCCTACTTTATTGCAGTAAATAATTACAAAACAGTTCTGTAATAATAAATTATAATATTGCTTTAATCAATCTATTTATAGCTCTTAGAATTTTGATATGGTCATTTTTACTTTAGTCTATTCCTGATAAACTAAATCAGAAATATATAAAATGGTGTAGGTTATAATACCCATATTCCTTGTCATTGCCCATAATGGTTACAGGAAATATCTGAAAACTAATTATCTATTCCTGGTTTACATGATCATATAAACTAATAACTTGTTAGGAAAAAATAGCAATAGTATTTTGTACTAATATTTATTACTAATAATATGAAAATGTTCCTCTTGAAATTGCAGCCATTATTTGATGAAGTATTTAAATAAGTGTATGAGATGTCTTTCTCTGAAATACTTGTTGGTGACATAGTAAAATAAATCTAATCAAATATTTCATAGAAACAGAAGCAAATCCACTTTAGCTCAAAGGATTATCAGGACAGCCTGATAATATACTGCATGGAAAACCATAATTAAAACTGATATGGAAATAAGAAAGTGATTTGGAAAAAAATGATTGTAATATTAACTGATATTCGGATTATTATATTTCTTTTATCATTTAGGTACCAGATAAGAACTTGAAAATTATTTTAAAAACACATACTAACTTTACTGGAAATACATAGATGAAACACATGGAAATACATAGATGAAAAATCCCAGATCTAAAAACACATTTTCAAAAAAATAAAATCTTGATATTTTCCTGGATATATTACTATTACATATTTAGAGTAGGACTATAATGACAGATGACACTGACCAAAATATATAAATATAAAATAGTAAGTTTCATGACGTTCATGAGGAATAATAAAAACTTACCTGTCTTACCCTTTTTTTTGAACTCCCAACTCGGAATATGCCTACTGTCTGGAGACCTTTAAAATGGTATGTCAATTTAACAAATTATTATTATTACATATTTATACAATTGCATATAAATATAGAATAAATTTAGAAGATTAGCAAAATATTTTGCATCACTATTCTGTATATAATTATTAATATTTGCGTTTCTTATTCCTACCCTGTCAGAAAATAGCATAAATACAAAATATGTATACAGTTTAGGAGGAAATGTGTTCAGTGAAATCTGCTTTAGTAAAGCCTACTTGTACATCATTATAATTTTTTTTTTAAAAAAAATATAGGGCATTGTTCAAAAGTGACGCTAGAGGGAAGCCAAATGGTGCTCATACAAAATTACATAACACATTTATAAAAGGATGTTAGCCCTCAATTCACTTGTGTATAAAATTTGTATTTCTATATTCAAAAATACACATAGCTCTTGGTTAGAAATGCCCACAAATATTCTTTGTACCAGCTCAGATTTTATTTCGTACAAGAGGAATAGAAAGGATGAGAATAAGTATGGGCGTGAAATATTTAACCTTAGTTTTAGACTGCATGTAGCTTCCACAGCCCTCCAGGCTTAGACACCAAAACTCAGCAAATTGGTAAACCAATGCTATGATTTTCTTTGAATCTGAGCATAGTGTGCTAATCCACATTAAAATTACTAATATCCCATCTCAAATTTTAATCTCAGTTACATGCAGGAGATTATTTTAAGAATCTAAAGGGTTATTACAGCTAAGTTTCTGGAACAAGTAAAGCCAACAATTTGATTTCCTCGCCTGTCTCCCAATATACAATATAGCCCTACATCCTACAACAGTTGTCTGTGATTTTGAGCAAAATATTTGTGGCATTTCACAATTTTCTCTATTTTTAAAACTGTCTCTCCCAGCAGCTACAGAATAAAAAATACCCCAAAATTCTCCAATTTCACAGTAGAAGTAGAAATTGGTTTATTCAATTGTTACTATAATAATCCTCAACATGCAACTGGTCACCACTTGAAGTACTTAAGAACTGATTCCAAAGTGCTGTCATTTGCCCTCTTCCTATGGTAACATGACCGCATGCTGAGACCTTGGTAACCTGTCTGCACTTACTGCCATTTGCAGCATCTCGCAGTCACGTAAACACATTTTATGACATTTTTGCTAAAACCTAGCATTTACTTCTAGTTTTCAGCAAAAACACCCATAGTGAACAATGGTCTCGCTTTACACTGCTGTATTCACTTAATGACTGCCACTGCTTAAAGACTGTCACAAAAAGGTCGTAAAATTGGATCAGTCACATAGGTGATCCACTTTATGGCATCACGATTTAAGACAATAATATGTAGTCTCCATTAGGGTCATAAGTCAAGGACTATGTGTACTTTGACTAAGTTCACAGCCTTTACTTCATGGAATAAAAGCTACATTTTCAAACATTATGCTTGCATGAAATTGAATAGAATCCATATAATTTTTAGAGTTCTTTGAATAGGCACGTATTTAATTCATTAATTTAATTCAACGCTTCAAGTCAATTACATTTTTTCTAGTGACATCTGATTATATTCATCCAAATTTGGAAAGGTGATTTAGTTTGGGGATTTAATCAAATTGCTTTCAAACTCCAAATCAAATCTTTGTACTGTAAGCCATCTGCACATTTCGGATAAAATATACTTACCATGTTTTTCTAAATGCTGACAGCAGCTATCTATAAGCCGAGGAACTTGCCTGTAAATAGGATTGAGGCTTAGCTTTTTGTCCCTGGATTTTTCTTTCTTGTTCTGTGCTTCAGCAGGCAAGGATAACTGTAGAGCTTCTAGTAATCGAGACTGACTATCATCAAGATCGGTAATAGAATCTACTGACATTGCACCCTACAATACACAAACATGCATTTGGTAAATATGGAAGAAAGATACTTCTCTCTTTAATCCATCATAAAACAAAATATTAACCTATACCAGAAGATATTAAGTGGGGCAGAAATCTATTGTAAATTCCCCTCTAAGTGACAACTGATCATTATAGCTGTCACTAGGTAACTCAAGACAAATGCCATGATTGTACTAGCCATATTACATGTTACTTGTTGCATGCCTGTCCAAGCTGAGGTAATTCTGAGGCTGCTGTTATTTGTTGCACTCCCATTCGTCAGTTACTTCAGCTCTTTCACTTTGTTCCTATTCCCAGTCAAAATGGAGGTAATTGCCGCCATACACAGCAACATTTGTATTTTTACCTGAAGATTGCTGCTCACCAGACATGGCAAATTGCAAGCATTTTGCTGAAGAAGATGAAGAAAGAACAGCAACTTCTCTCCAAAGGTAATCCCCCTTTCTACACAACTTTGTTTTGTAATGGCTTCTTGCCCAACCACTACTGTAAATTCTTTATTAGTAACATCTACTAGGCGACTTCCGGTGGTTTCAGCGACGACGAATGGCGGAGTCTTACAAAGCCGCCCGTTCCTGGTGCGTGTAAAAGCCGCGGGACTTTGACAATCAGCTGTCCCGCGGCTTGAATCTCCTCCCTGGGAAAAAGGGAGGAGGAGAGCTCTCAGGTAGAGGTAAGAGCTCCCCTGGATTCCTGTTATTTTGGGGATCGGAGGGTAGAGCTCCCTCGGAGCCTGAGCAACTCCGCGTTCCAGGGAGACTTCATTCCGAAGTTTTTGGGATGAAGCAAGTTGCCGCTTCCACATCTGCTTTTTTTTCCAGCTGCTTGTGAGTATTTGAAAGCAGACGGAGCAGACCAGGAGAGACTGTGCTTAAGTTTGATGGTGCCTTTAACTTCAGCAAGTTTCCTCTTCCTTTTCTTTTGTTCACTTTCCCTTTAGAAGAAAGGGAAAGTGAAAACTAAAATGGCGATCGTCTTTCTTGCCTGATTTGCATTACAGAGTAAAACCTGGATACAGATTAACTCTTTAAATACAGAAGTAAGAATTTGGCTTTTATTCTTTCCTCTTTTTTTCTCTATTTTTTTTTCTCTTTTTTTAAGAACACTTAAAAGAACTGTGCCCTTTTTTTTTTCAATAAGAATCTTTCTTCTTGGAACTTAAGAAAATGGCTTCAAAACGTCTGCCTCCCGCCCCTAAGGTTCCTATTTCTTCTCCAATGCCTCAGCCTGCATCTCAGAAACCAAAATCACCTCCACCTTCTCCTCCTCCTCCTGCAATTTCTCTTAATGATTTACAAGATGCTTTAAAACAGCATGCCTTGGATATTAAGGAGGAGGTAAAAGATCTTATAATTGCAGAGAGGGCTAATATAGAAGAATTATTGGAAAAAAAGAACAAACAAGTAAGAGACCATATCCTTCTGGCCTTTCAGGGCCTAGCCCTGCACATAGAAAGGATTGATGACCAGATGGAAAAGATTACTGAAAATGCATCAAGGATGGAATTTAGAATGCAGGAGGTAGAGAACAAGATAGAAATTACACAGGATGAACAAATCATTTCACAATATAGGGAGATGGAACACGCATTGCGTATCAGAGGCCTGAGGGAGAACCCTCAGGAAGACTTAAAGATGCTTATTGTGAAAGATATTGCTCCTAATATTGGTTGGCGGCCTGAAATAATTGAGAATGAGATAGAAAAATTTTTTAGAGTTAATTCACGGGTTGCTAGACAGAGAAATCTACCAAGAGATGTGGTTATTTATTTTTCTAGAAGATCTATCCGTAATGAAATTATACAGGCTTTTTACAAACAAAAGTTTCAAATTGCTGATCAAGACGTGATAATTTTAAAAGAGATACCTCCAAAAATTTTAAGAGCCAGAAAAGATTTTACTTTCTTGTCTGATGAGTTGAAACATCGTCAAATTCAGTTCAGATGGGAGATTCCAAGAGGAATAATAGTAAATTATGAAGGGATACGTCACAGATTAACTACTGTTTCCAAAGCAAGAGATTTTTATCAGTCTATCTTAAAAGTAAGATTGTCACCACCTCCACAAATAAGGATGACGGAAGAGTCTCTTATGGCAGGAGCCTCATCAATGATGGTTATGGAACAAGCTGCACCGAATTCTGACATAAAAGAGCAAAGGATGACACGAGCTGCCCATAAACGTAAAGAAAAAGAGCAGTTGCAGAAGAGTGGTGAAAGTTTGGTTGTTACAGAGCCTGTGGGAGGGGCAAGACCAAAAAGATCTTCGACAGCAGATCTGCAAGCCATGCTCCAGAGGCTCCAGGCCGGTGGAGATGGTCAGGTTCCTGACCTGGAATGTTAATGGCTTAAACGTGCCCCAGAAACGAAGAAAGATTTTCCATTATTTGAAACAACATAATAATGATTTGATATGTTTGCAGGAGACTCATATAACTTTAAAGGATTCTAAATTCTTGATGAATTCCCGTCTGGGCACACATTTTACTGCTCCAGCCCCTGGGAAAAAAGGGGGAGTGGTAATTTATGTGAAGAAAACTTTTTCAGCTAAACTAATTGAGGCTGATTCTGAAGGAAGATATCTTTTTGTGGAATTATTATTACAAGGCCGAAAGGTTCTTATTGTTGGACTATATGCTCCCAATCAACAACAGAAACAATTTTATAAGTTGCTGCATGGCAAGATATCTCAGTTGGATTATAAATCGGTAATTTTGATGGGTGACTGGAATGGGGTTTTAGACCCAACTATAGACAAAAGAAGTTCCTCTAAAACTTTTATTCAAACTAAATTACCTATGACTTTCTTTGATTTGAAGGAAGAATTGGAGCTTATTGATATTTGGCGAGAAAGGAATACAAGTGATAGAGACTTTACCTTTTATTCTGATAGACACCAGTCATTTTCAAGGATTGATTTTTTTTTGATTACTAGTGACTTCCTCCCTAGAGTGAGGAAGGTGAAAATTTTTCCTAGAACATTGTCAGATCATAGTCCGGTGTGGATGGAGTTATATTCGGAAGACGGGAATAGAAGATCCTGGAGATTGAATGAGAACTTATTTAATCGGGAGGAGTTCATACAAAAGTGTAAAGAACATTTAAAGGACTTTTTTACTATAAATATGAATAAGGGAACATCGATGTCTATGGTGTGGGACGCTAGTAAAGCATATATGAGGGGAATTTTGATTCAATTGAATAAAGTTTTTAGGGAAAAAGGGTCACAAAGACGTAGAGAAATAGAAGAAGAGATCAAATCAAAAGAACAAGAGTTGGTTCTTAACCCTACTGATAATAATTTAAAGGTATCTATAAAGATGCTTAAGGAACAATTTAACATGTTGATGGCAGATCAGGTGGCTACCAATCTGTCGTATATGAGACATAATACTTTTTGCAATGCGAATAAGCCTGGGAGGTGGTTGGCTTATCAGTTACGAAAGAAACAGAAAGCTAGAATTATAGAGAAAGTAAAATATAAAGGTACTGAGGTTTTTCAGCAAGATTTGATTAAAAAAAGCTTTTTGGACTTTTACACAAAATTATATTCAAGTGATAATATAAGGGGTTTGGATATAGATAAATATTTACAATCAGTACATTTTCCTAGACTTTCAGAGGAACAACAAAATGGGATGAATAGTTTAATTACTGTGGAGGAAATTGGCTTAGCTATTAAGCAGTTAAAGGTTGGAAAGTCTCCTGGAACAGATGGACTGACTTCTAGGTATTATAAGATTTTATCTGAAGAAATGATAGAGCCACTAAAGGAACTCTTTAATAGTATTTTGTTGGGTATGCAAGTTCCTCCTTCTTGGAAAAGAGCTTTTATATCACTGATTCCGAAGGAAGATCAGGATCTTACAGAGCCTAAGAATTATAGGCCAATTTCATTATTGAATGTTGATTATAAGATCTTTACAAAAATTTTGGCAAATAGATTAATGCAGGTTATGAAAGACTTGATTCATAGTGATCAAGCAGGATTTATAACAGGGAGATATATGAAACATAATGTTAGACAAATTATTAACTTAATTGAGTACTTGGATAAGAATAATCAGATTCCTGTGGCTTTTATCTTTTTGGACGCTGAAAAAGCTTTTGATCAATTGGACTGGCAATTTTTATTTTCTTTGGTAGAGAAAATGAATTTTGGGGATAATTTTTTACATGCACTTAAAGCTATATATCAGCAGCAATCTGCACAAATTGTTGTAAATGGGGGATTGACTGAGAATTTTAATATTCAAAAAGGGACAAGACAAGGATGTCCATTATCCCCATTGTTATTTGTTTTAACATTGGAAATTTTATTGATTCAGATTCGGGAATCGAAGTTAATTAAGGGTGTAAAGATAAGGAAGAATGAGTATAAATTGCGGGCATTTGCGGATGATTTGGTTTTAATTTTGGAACAGCCGAATCAGGCGATTGATGGTTTATTAGAACTTATAACACAGTATGGGAATGTTTCTGGTTTTAAAGTTAATAATTATAAGACTAAGATATTATCTAAGAATATGTCAGTTAAAGAAAGGGAAAGTTTGATTAAAGCCACAGGTTTTCAGATGGTAAAAAAGGTTAAATACTTGGGAGTATATCTAACTGCTTCAAATGGAAAATTGTACAAGAACAATTATGAACCACTATGGGCAAAAGTCCAAAAGGATTTAATAGATTGGAAAAAATTGCAATTGTCATTGTTGGGGAGAATTTCAGCTGTAAAAATGAATGTTCTACCAAAGTTTCTTTTTTTGTTTCAGATGATACCTATTCTTAAAAAAGAGGCAAATTTGGAGGAATGGCAAAAGGGTATCAATAATTTTATATGGGCCGGGAAGAAACCAAGGGTTAAATTTAAGATATTACAGGATGCTCGAGAAAGAGGGGGACTTAAGGCACCCAATTTGAAATTATATTATGATGCAGCCGCCCTAACTTGGTTAAGTGATTGGCTTAATTTAACAAATATGGATA